GGGGGAAGACGCAACATTTATGGAATTTTCGATTAGTGCATTGAAAATTGAAGTAACAAGACCATGAAAAAGTACATTTTATTTTTAAATACTTAATTGTTTATGTATACAAGTGAATTCCCTTCCCCATATATATGCAGAAGAGGCCACCATTCATGGTAAGAGACAAACAACCACACCACAGTAAAAAAAAAATAAGACAAACATTGAAAAATTAAATGGGAAGTAACGATAACTATAGAAAAACAAAAAAGAATTGCATTATTTCATAATTAATTTGCTAGAAGCAAATTTTCCTGCAGGACGATCTACAGGAGGCTGAGGTAGTAATCATCTTCAGGCCTGCACATCCTCCTTCTATGAAGATTCCTTGTGCCATCCTAACAGCATAATTATCAATTGTAGCTATATTCTATACAATAATATACAGTATTATAAAATTTTAAAAAAATTAAAGTTTATTACATTTATTTTTGAACCTTGCAGCGTTCTCCCCAAGTATAGAGGTAAGATGCCTCACGCGTTTATTTCCTTATGGCTGCAATGTTATGGCCGTTTCTACAAATATTGTATGTGTAACATTACTTGTAACTCACTTGCACTGCTAATACCTTATTTAAGGTATCTGATTATGTTCGGAACCTTGATTCTAAAAACGCTCATAAATGGATAATTTTCATGATATTTAGTGTCACTTTGATTAAAATACATTTACAAAATTGATTTAAGGACACTTTGACAAAAATTAATTGAAATGCAATATTTTGGCAAAAAATTAACTTGGAATAAACTTTTTCCAAAATGTTCTCCTTTTGTGAAAAATGCTTCTATTATAATAATAGTTCGCCTGTATATAGCTGAGTCCCTCTGTACAGAGGCTACTCTATGATTTTGAAAAATTCATATTATTTCTAGATTTACAACTAATTGAAATAATTATTGGGGCGTTTTTTTCTTAAAAGTTATCCCCTCTGTTGTCGTAAAACATGGATAAACCTACTTCTAAGTGATATTTTTCAAAAATTCTAGTTGAGCCTCTGTACAGAGGTTTGAGCTATATACAGGCAAAATATTATTATAATAGACGCATTTTTCGCAAAAGGAGAATATTTTGAAAATTGTCATTCTATGTTCATTTTTTGTCAAAATATTGTACTTAAATAAATGTTCATTGTAATACTAATCTAAAGACAATTTTGTATACATTTTCTAATCTAAGTGACACTAAATACCATAAATATTATCCATTTATACGCTTTTGCAAAATCACGGATCTGAACGTAGTCGGAAACCTTAAAATAACAAGTACGTTTATAAACTTTAAATATGAGGAACGGGGAATATTATAATAGTTGTAGTCACCACTTTAAATGCTAACAAGATTGAAAAATAATGCCATTAAAAAGACGACTATTTAAGATAAATTCACAAGCCACATTAAGGTATCATATTATGTTCGGAACTGAGATTTTGCACAAGCGCATAAATGGATAATTTTCATGATATTTAGTATCACTTCGACTAAAATACATGTCTACAACTGTTTTAAGAACATTTTTACAACAAAAATTGTTTAAATACAATATGTTGCCAAAAAATTCACTTAGAATAATCTTTTTTTCAAAATTTTCTCCTTTTGTGAAAAACGCTTTTATTATAATAATTTTTCCCTTTATATAGCTCAGACCTCTCTACAGAGACTCAACTAGAATTTTTGAAAAATTCATCTTAGTTTTAAAGTTACCACCAATTGAAATAATTATTGACGCTTTTTTTCTTAAAATTGCTCCCCTCTGTTGTCGTAAAATATGGATAAACCCACTTCGAAGTTATATATTTAAAAAATTCTAGTTGAGCCACTGTAGAGAGGTATGAGATATATACAGGCAAAATATTATTATAATAGAAGCCTTTTTCACAAAAGGAGAACATTTTGAAAAATGATTATTCTAAGTTAGTTTTTTGCCAAAAGATTGTATTTAATTTTTTTTTGTCAAAATGTCCCTCAAACAATTTTATACATATATTCTAATATAAGTGACACTAAATGTCATGAAGATTTTCCACTTATGTGCTTTTGCAAAATCACGGTTCCGAACGTAGTCGGATACCTTACATGCCGAACCAGACTTTTCCCTCAACCGACTCAAAATTGTCATCTATCTACGCATAAAAGTACTATTAACAAACTGTGTCTACCCTCGAACTACCTTACATGAAAATCAAAAAAATGACACGTAAGAGAATTCCGAAGATAAGAAAAAAAAGTTATCCTCATATTATAAATATAATTCTTTATGAACCTTTTTTAAACATGATGAACTTATCTTAATGGATATAACAAGATATAAATAAAAGGAGTTTGGTATTTATTTAAAATGAATTTGTACAACTAAGTTTTTCTATATAAAGGTACATAGAAATATATAAGTATAAAATGAATAAGTGATTCTATAAGGAGAGAGAGAAAATACATGTTCTATCAGTAAAATATAAAAATTATTTTCCTCTAAAACATATATTGCAATATTAAAATGTTCAGAAAAACAATTTCATTTAAAGTAAAATTTTGCTTGCATAAAGAACTACATTTATTTTTAAAAAAAATAAACAAATTTATCTTTGTAAATACAAACCCATTTCCTTTCAAAATATTCTAAGCTAAAAGCAATTAAGCAATTCTACGAAAGCATTATTTCAAATAGACTTTAAAAATATTTTCTCTTTATACATAAAAAAAAGTTTCTCTTGATTCCGTAATAAATTTATTACGTGCTATCGCAACCATGCCAACGTCTGAGAAAACTCGCAAAGTTTACAAACCCGATATCGTAATGTGTCATACTCGCTCAAATGGTAACCATGTGCTTCGTTTCATATAATGCCGCCAATATAATGTTTGCAAGAGTACATTACTGAAAGCGCAACAATTGTCGTTGCCTGAAATTAAAGTCATTGTCTCATACGAAGACTTTTTAGCAATCAACGGAGCTGAACACTCAAATTTCATGGAAGCTTTAAGAGATGCAGATTTATTGAACTCTGAGGACTTTATGTGGTGAAAGAGTAAGCTTCATTGTTGAATTTAACCAAAAAAAGAGCGCCAAGAACGAATTTTGCAAAAAATAGAACTTCATTACAAATGTAAGTTAGAAGTTTATAAGTTGAGCAATGAGTATGAACATTTGTGCAATTGGTACAGACCGACGATTTTCTTCCTAGTAATTTTTTTTTCAAAATTATATTCATTAAATTAATTAGCATTTTTTTAAAAATAATAATGGTTTAAGAATAACGAACATTTGGGGCTCTTTTTTTTAAAAAAAATAACATACTTAAATACTATTAATGTATTTTTAGGAATCAATACCAATAAATACTAATATTTAACTATAAAAATAGTTTTTAAAATTTATCTTAATTTTATAAAAATCACAATTAGCTACATTTTAGAGAAACTTCAAAGTAGTTAGAGAAGAAAGTCCTAAACTTATATTAGCAAAATTATTACTAAAACAAATTAGATGCATTTATCTAGAAAATGTGTTAAAATTTTAATGTTTTATTAAAATTTGAAAAAAATTGAGCTGATTGAGTAAATATTATAAAAAAATGTGACATACTTTGTGTGAGGCCATTATATAATAAACAGGTTGTAACTCCAAAGATATTCATACAATAAGAAATATTTTAGTGCATTCTGTAGATAATTTTAAATAAATGTTCCGTTCAAAAAGTTTTTTAGAAGTGAATTTATAAAATTTAAAGTTTTCATACTCGCCATGATAGATTTTGACCAAGGGAAGTGACCACGTCTAGTTTATCAAAGACCCACTTCCGTTTTTTCTAATTTTGTAAAATTGATTGTAACTTGGTCTCTAGGTAGCGTAAAAACAAAACAGAGAATGTTTTGTCAATCCAAAAGATAACTCTATTCAATAAATTAATAATCAAAAATATTTGTTCTGATTAAATCTGGTTATTTACAACGTGTTCGGATACCTTAAGAAAAAAATATTATTTACTCTTTCCAAAACCAAAAATTACTGAAACAACATATCCAAAAAAATAAGTATTTTTTTTTCTTTTTGAAACAAATTATTCTTATGCTTCATTCTCAAGAATTTTGGCTATCTTCTGCCGCTTACAACTTCTTGAATTATTTCAGCACATAAAAACGAATGACCCCCATGCTAGCGTCAAGAAGCTGAGAAATTCTTCGAAGGAAGAAAGTTCCTCCAATTAATTTAATCTACTTTTTCCACGCTATCAGGATCATTAAGTTCTTTCGTTTAATTCGCTAAAGTGATACTACTGCTTGTGTTTTAAATTATAGAAGTACATAAAGACCTTAGAATTTTATCATTATTTCTTTTCATTGAAATTATGAAAGTAAATATGCGAAAAAATTTCCGTTTTTTCTTTCTATCACTATATGCTATGAGAGCTTTCTTATGGATCTCTTTAATTTGTGATGGGGTTTGCAATGGGGTCAGATATACTCATAATATTAAACTTCTCGAGGAACTTGAGCACAAAATTTGCCAAAAGGATCATTTTTGTTGTTTTGGTCCTGATTTTAGTTCAGGGCGCTTTCAAAGCAGTTTGTGTTTCATATACATACTATACTTCGATGTATGTTTGATTAACAAATCAAACCAAAATCACATTTTTCAAAAAATTAATTATTTCGGTTCCTTTTTACCTTTCTTTTTCAGTGAAAGGGAAATAACAGATCAACGAAGACTAAGCAAGTATTATAAAAAAATAATAAGTGAATTCCTACTTGTGTCAACAAAGGAAACTTTTGCTTTAGTTACTATTTATTGAATAATTCCAATTAATATAAATATGTCTATATATATGACAGAATCACAATATTAAGTGACAAAATAGAAAGATACTTCCTTTGCCACTTTCCTTTCTATTTAGGGTGTTGGACTATAACTTTCATTTGTTATTATTTATTTATTCATAAATCACATTATCAGAAGTTAAGCTATCCCATGTAGGATTTGAACGTACACCTTTGGATTAGAAGTTCAACGCGCTATCAATTGCGCTATAGGGACACAACGAACTGTTTCTCTTTTTATATATGGTGTTGGACAATTATTTTTGTTTGTTACTATTTATTCATTTGTTAATTTAATTATTGAATTAATATTTAAAAAAACTGCATTACCATCAAGTGCCATCCACTACAAGTTTAAAAAAATGTATTTGAACTTGAGTCGATGAATTAAAAGTATTTTTTTTTTTGTCGATTGAAAATTTGAACAAGATATATGTATATACCTGCTAGCAATTGTCTCGCCAATTTATATTTACATTATTTTGAAAATAGTTTTATTAATAAATTGGAATATTTCATTTTTCTTTATATAGATGACATAATCATTTTTGACAAGCAAGACAATTTGAAACCTTACACTATTTTTTATCCACAATATCTTATTTTAATACAGACAAATAGTAACAACAATGAAGCAAATTTTCTCGATATATACATATCTGATTAAAAGATAATGTTGCAGTTACTAATATTTATAATAATGGAGAAGAACTTAATTTCAATATTATAAAAGTTCCTCATTAGGAGAGTAATGTACATGTTTCTATATACAGAAATATTGTGTGTGTTATTGAAGTTAACTTCTTCTCGCACGTGAAGGAAAAGTTTTCGTTACGCGTTACCAGCTACGGTTACGCGATGAATGTAAGTTAAGATGCATGAAGTTCCTACTTTCACCATGTTTTTAAAAAAGCTGTCTCGAGTTTAACAAATTTTCATATCATAACCAGAGATGTAGTTTAATATATATATCTCAGGTTCTCTAATGGACAAATGACTTTTCCGGAATGCCACTGGTATTTTCAGGAGAGGCCTCACCTAATCATATTTTACTTTGTTTGGGTTTTAAAAAGGATGAGGTCCTTTGCGACCCACTGCTGTTTTTAGATTTTTTACAGATTTTCGGATTCATGGGGAATGTCTAGCCCTGCTGGGCAGTACCGAGATTAGTAAAAAAAACTAAACTAAATTCAAAACTCTTAAGAAATTTATAATAATAATTGAATTAACTCAACTTGTAATGAAGTAATTTTGTAAATAAAAGATTTATGGTTTTATGTAAATGGCTACAGTGAAAAAGTAAGTAAAGAAAAAGATTTAGAAAGTCGAGTTTTGGGGTGGTTGTGAGTAATATAAACTAATCTGTTTTATTATAAATTGGACGAAAATAAAGCCATCTAATTCTTTCTATCAAACTCAGACAAAAATCAATTACCGAATCGGAAAGATAATTTTTTCCGCCACGATAAAGAATAAAATTTTCTACAAAATAATTTGTAACGATTTTTTTCCTAAAATGAATCAAAATCTATACATTTTTATGAAATTTATTTCTAAATTGTTCCCGTTTAATTTCCTTTCGCATTAATGAATTGAATTAATTCATGCTTTTCTCTTTTAGAATCAGTCATTTAAAAAAAGAATGCTAAAAATTGTTTTTTTTTTACGATTTTTCAAAAAATACTGAAAATTTTAAGTAAATATTAAATAACTTCGTTATTAATAAAAGTAATCTCACGAAACGTTTTTTTTCTGTGTGTAGAACAATATTATCTATAATCTGTACAAAGAATGAAAAAAATTGCTTAAAAATTACGATTTTTAAAATTTGTTTGGCGTTTTTCGTCTATTAGCCTTTTTACGAGAATTTTGTACTAAAAAAATTATTCTTAGATTTTTTTGTTTAAAAATAACTTTTGTTTTCAATCGATGTGTGATATTGTAAACCATTGACTTAAAAATTAAGTCTTCAAAAAATAAAAAAGTTCAATAAAAAGCGGGATTTTACGAAAAGCCAAGGATTTGGCGATGAAAACCAGTTTCGCGTGAAATTAGCAATCAACATCTGCTTCATCACGTCCACTTCACATTTTCTCAGGGGTTACACTAGAAAAACTGGAGACAAATGAAAATCATCTATTTTGGAGAGGAAAAAAATGCGAATATTTTTTTTTTCAATAACGGCATCTACTTAGCAACATAACTATATATATATAAACTACTAACTACTTACTATTACAAATTTACTACTATTGCAAAACAGAAAAGAAAATTTAAATTTAATGCACAAAGATTTCCATCAATTAGTAAGAATGTCAAACGAAAATCTTACACACAAAAATGACTTTTACTTCATGTTAGTTCGCATCTTTTATCATCAGATCGAACTACATTTCAAATATTTTTTACCGGCCCTGCCAGATCTGGTTAAACTTTCGTCATTAAACTTTTGATGATAATTTATAATCGCTATACGAACAATGATGGATACTGTCAAAGTTGTAAAGCAGCAGTAACTATTTTAGGATGACTGTTAATGCAGCTTTAACAAATTTCTTTATCAAGATTACTTCCGTTACATTTTAAAACTTCTCAACATTACAGAACTCTTTTCAAATTCATAAAAGTCATAATAATTGATGAGATAAGTATGATCAGTGCACAATTATTATTGAGAAGGTTAATTCCAGAATAAAATAAATAACTGGAAAATTCTAGTTAAATTTTGGTGGATTAGATATTATTTTAATAGCAGATGTATACGTCTCAAGTACCACCAGTTCATTCTACGCCCATCTATAAGCAACCGAAACAGACCATTGTTTGACCGATTTTATGGCGAAATCTAAAATTTAATGATCCAAATGAAGTCATGCGTCAAGCGAAACAACGATTTTCTTCTATACTTACAAGAATGGGAAACGGCGAACAGCTTGATTAAATGGAAATAACTCTGATTGTCATTCTCGTGTCCATGAATAAATGCAGTAGATATCACTAAATTCCGTCAAAAGTATTGATCACTGCCTCTGCTATTCTGGAAGCATCAGGGCTATACAGGAGTTCCCGCAAAGAGTCTCTCAGAGGGACCATTCCCATTTTTAGTAACTTTGTTGAGACGGTTGGGCATTCCAAGATGTGATTCATGGAAAAAAAGGTGCCATAGCCTCCAGGAGGTTGAACTTCTACCTGTTGGTCCACGGAAGGTATTTTATTTCCCTTCTACCACCCATTGAAAACCAATGGAGGCGTTTCCCTATCCGCCACCTGGGGATGTGCCCTCTAGGGGTTACATGCTCCCCCGAGGATAACTCTGATTGAGTCTCTTTGTACTGTAGAAGACGCTGAAGCAAGGTGTCCTCAAGGTACACGATTATTCAACATTAACAATTCAGTTAATGAGTATATTAATAAAATACTGAATACTTATGCGGACAGAATAACTTTAACTGCAAAATATGTATATGCGGTTTGTACTTCAAAAGAACAAGAAATTTTCGTACGTCAAAAATTACATAAGATGTCATTAATTGATACAAATGGATTGCCTTATCAAACAGATTATGTGAATAATATTTATTAAATAATTACCACAAATATTGCTTTGACAGATGAATTGGAAAATGGGGAAGTTGAAAAGCTAATTCACGTAGAAAAAAAGGATAAAGGATTAGTTAGGTTAATATGGCCTGAGTTTCCAGTTTTAACTCAAGTAGGTGAAAAATTAAGACGCAAAAAAAAAGTTCACCTTATCTCTACAAAATAACAGAATAATATCGACAACAAAATCAAATACTACGATTGACGCAGTGCTTTCGAGATTCTTAAATGATATTGAGTGCAAAACCTAAATTCCTTATTTTAGCTACCACAAGCCTTTGATAACAAAAGTATGTACTGAAACACACATAAGCATAATGAAAATAGACTAATAATAATAGTAATACTTTTCTATAAATGTATATAATAAAAATATTTTTAGTATTATTGAAAATGAAAATTTGGTTTATATACTTATACCTTTTCCATCCTAATTATTATTTTAAATCAAGTTTGAAACAATAATGGTAATAATAAATTTGTTACTTATACATAAGATTGATTCAAAATAAAATTTTATTATACAATTCAATACATATAAGCGAAAAAAGTTAAGTTCTACCGCGTGTTTATACACTGATGCAAGTGCACATTTTTTTACTAATTATATACAACGCGATTGATTTCCAGTTTCAAAAAATTCAGAAAAAATAAATTACTATAAACTTTTTACTAAATATTGCTTAAATCAGAAATATTCAATTCATTTTATTAATAGTTATTTGAAAAAAAGCAATTCTTAATAGTAAGGAATAAAATTCCTTAGAATAATAACAGTTTTTTATTATATATTTATCATTTTTCCTAGTTATAGTTACCTCCTTTTTCTACTATTAGATACAAATAATTTTGATTATTTTATTCGTATACAAATAGTGTCACTAAGGTTATGGTAGCTCGAAAACTTTCTTTCCAATTTATTCTTTTTAATACTTTTGTTAAATACTACATTTCAGCCATTCATATGCTTTTAATCTGCATTTGGGTCAAAATCTGGCAATGCTTTGTTATTGCACTTAGATTTAGCGCGTGCTCTGCATGTTTAAGCGCAATTTTTAAGTAAGTTACCTCTATCTTGTAATGTATTTAGATATTCCAATCCAATACTTTCAATAGGTTTTTGCTCAGTATTATTTACATAGAGGGGGAAGGTTGGCTGGAGAAAAAACATGTCCAACCCCGATTTTTTATATAAATTATTTTATATATAAGCTGTCCTAACTAAGCAATGTTTATAATACTGAATCATTCATTTTTTTAAATTTCGATTGCTCATGTGTCCTTCATTGTGTGGTTTGCTTATTATTGTTCATCTCTCGTTTGTCGAGAATTAGACTACACGCACGCACACACACACACACACACACATATATATATATATATATATATATATATATATATATATATATACAGTCCAGTCATATTAATGTGACCACCACGTACTTTCGACTTTGACGTTAAATAACCAATCACAGAAGGATGCTGGCATCGCAGTGCTATTGAGCGTATATAAAGAGTGTGTGAGGGCTTCGGAAAACACTACAATCGTTGGCGTAATGCAAACATGTAAAGAGTTATCCGAAGTCCAAAACGGCATAATTTTTGGCTTTCGGGAAA